CTTTCTATTCTTCTTCTTATTTTCTTGAATTTTCTTTTGATTCTTCTTCTTCTTGGAAACTCCCTCTTCACCTTCTTTTGCGTGCACTAATCTTGGTGCATGCCCTTCTTATATCATTTGCTTACTTGTTATCTTATGAGATGTGTAGTAGTGCATTTGACAAGCTCTTGCGATCGTTGCAATATTATTTACTAGAGCGGTCAAGCTTGGACCTTAAGCAAGCCTTTCTCGGGAAGTAACCCGTGTTTTATTGCTTTCATTTTCTTTTCTTTTTAGAATAGATTTTCTCTCATGGAAATGTTTGTGTGCCTTTTTCTAGGTACATAACTTGATATACTTTGGTGCATTGATTTGGATCAAGAATCAAGGAAGTTTGGCACCACAATTGCTATCATATGGAAAACAAGATTCAATTCTTGAGAAGAGTGGCTTTGAAAATTTTAATTGGGTCATTTGCGGGTATATACACCCACCTAAAATCCGGTATTATCCTTCCTTGCTCTTCCTCTAATGATTTGTGACTTGTTGGACATATGTTGGTTGGTTGGATGACTTTCTTTCTTTTCTCCTCCCATGGATTCTTTGGTTTAAAGTTTGAGCATGTTGCCTCATTCAAGCTTGGGGGAGGGTATTCTATCATGTTTGGTGGAATTTTGATTCATATATGCCATGCACATTTGTATATGCATTTCCATTTTCTTTATTTTGAAAATTCCAAAAAGATTTTGTTTCTATCAAGGCAAATTTGCAATGTGTTTTCTTTTGTTCTTGCTTTGGACATAATACTTTTGGACTTGTATTCTTGAATGTATTTCTTCCTAAATTTTAGAGGTGTGCACGGTTTGAGAATGTGTTAGGTTGACCCTAGGATATGGTATGCTAAGGTAGTTGGCTAAGAACTTTGGGACCATGAAGCTCTAGTTCACTTGCTTGTGGTAAGATGGAGTTGCTCTCTATAGTGGATATGAAATCAAGAGTTAGTTATTGCTATCCCTAGTGATGTATAATTGTTCTAGCCTTCATCATACTTTGTTGAGCGGCATATTTGGATCCTTGGCTATTGCATTCTCGTATCTAGAACTTGACTTTTAGCTCCCATGATCGCGACTGAGCCACTTTAGGGGATGACAAAGACATTTCTCTTTTTATAGGATTAATTTTCAATTTTGGATTTGGTTTGCAATTGCCCCTATTACTAGCCCATTTGAGCCATATACATTCTTTTCTCTAACCTTAATACAAGCCTTCCAGCCTTAGTTTCACTTTAAATCCTACCTTTAGTTTGTGAAGCAATTTTGTTTTGGAGCTTGTTTTATTGTTTATGGTGCAAGTTTAGAATTATAAGTTCATTTGCAAAGCAAGTATGTGTTGTATATAATTTTTTTGCATAAAACCAAATACATTTTGAGAAAAAGCCGTCCAAAGTTAAAAGAGGCAAGGACATTTAAAAAAAAAAAAAAAAAAAAAAAAAAAAAAAAAAAAAAGAAAAAAGAAAAAGCTTGGAAAAAGGAATTATTGAAAAAAAAAAGTAAAGAAGAATGTAAAGCACAAAAAAAGAAGGGGTTTTGTTATTGTTGTTCTCCCTGTTTTTGTTATTTTGTGTTAAATAAGCTTGGGGGAAAGTTATTTAATAAGCATACTTGGCACTTTTGTTTTGGAATCGTTTGGATCTTGTGGAAGAAGTTCCACCCGTGCTTCACATAGGTTTACCACCAATTTCAAGAGTTCTCCGCACCTTTACTCTCCTAGCTTATATGTTAATACCTTGAAAGTCCTTTTGATCCTAGAGGGTTAAGTCATTCAATGATGGCGGGAAATAGGAATCAAGCCTATAGAGCGAGTTTGCATAGCCAAGATGTCGGGTAACCTTCTCAATGTTTTTAATTTCTTATTTATTTTCCGGTTTCTTCGTGGAATCATGAGAAGCTAACTTGAAAGTGGATTTGAAACTAGTAGAGAGAACGTGGTTCGATTGGTTGAAACAAAAGGTGGAATGTGTTTCCTTTAGTTCTCTATGCTTAGCATATGTTATGTTTCAATCAACCTTGGACATCTTAGAACATGCATACCTTTATTATTTTAGAAAGATTGACATTCATTAATGTTTGTTCCATCATAAAAGTCCACTCTAGAACGCTTGTAACTTTTCTCTTACTTCGATTTATTTTATTTTATTTATTTATTGCCTTGCCTTGATTTTTGTCAAGAGTTATGGGTTAAACTCTTAGGACACCCTTACGAGAGCTTACTCGTCCTCTAGAGCGATCTATGGGGTTTAAAGTGCTTGATGCATGCGCTAAATGCATTCGTGATTCCTACGAAAGTGAGTTAGTGTATATTCTTTCTCTTCTAGTTTTATTTTTTTTAAAAAAAAAATATACATCGTTTTCCGTTGTGTTTGTTTTGTTTTGCTCGAGGATGAGCAAAAGTTAAGCTTGGGGGTGTTTGATGAGTGACATTTATGTTACCCTTAGGGGTAGTGTATTGGTCTCTTTTCTCCTGTTTTTCTTAGGTTTTCTACCTCTTTTCTCCTCTTATGGCTTCCTTTTCTTTTATGGATGAAAAGTATGCTTATTTGCGCTTGTTTTGATAATCTTTATGCATAATTTTATCATCCCCATGCTCTCGTGATCTTTGCTATCTTTTGCAGGTTCCATGACGGTCCTAAGCACGGTAGGAGGCCCCTTGGCCAAGTATGGAGGCATGGACAAAGACAAGAGGAGCAAAAGGGAAGAAGAGGAAGCAAGAAGAGGAAGTTCAAGAGGAGGTGTGACCACACCTCTAAGAGGTTCGGTCGAACCTAGGTGTGGTCAAACTTTTGAAAAGTTCGACCGAACCTCCAAGGCAGTTTCAACCAAGTTTTCAGCATGTTTACAGGAGGGGTCGAACCAGGAAAGTTCGACCAAACAAGGATCAGGGAGGTTCGACCGAACCTACCCTGAGTTCGGCCGAACCTACCCTGAGTCCGACCGAACCTACACAGAGTTCGGTCGGACCTTTTCCCGTTTCAGCTGACTTTTTGCGGAGCTTCCTAAGCAATTTTGTAAAGGGTATAAACAGATTTTTTTTACTCATTAAAGAGGGGAGAGATTTTTCAGTTTAGAATAGTTTTTAGGTTAGTTTTAGGTTTTAGAGAGAGAAACTCTCAAAATTTTAGAGAGAGAGTGAGGAGCACAATGGTTTTCATGGATTTTGGATAATCAAAGGAGGAATTTGATGATTTGAAGATCTCCATTTTATATCAATGAGCATTTCTTACTCTCTTCTCTCTTTATGCTTTATTAATTGCTTTGTTAATCATGTTTGAGTAGATTTCCTTCTACTAGGTGTTGAGTGAAGCTTTGTTATGGTTAATTGAGTTATTTGAGATAAATTTGATGATAATTGTGTGATTAAATTGATTGAATTGATGTTGGCATGTTGTTTGTTTTAGATTGGATTGATCTCCCATGATAGCACACTTAATTGCATATTGGTTCTAGTTTGACAAGGGATTGTGAATTAGAATTGATATATTTGATTGCATTTTGGGTAATTTTCTTCTATGCACCTAGTCAATGAGGGATCTAGGCTAGGAATTTGAGAGATTACTTTTGAGTGTAGTTAATTCTCATTATAATTCTTTCTTTGCATGATTGATTATCAAATGGATTCTCATTAGCTTATTAATTGTTCTAAGTGGATCTTTTCCCCTAGTAGACTTTATCATACCTTGTTCTTTATATGTGTTTTAGTGTAGTTGTAGTGTCCACTATCCATAAACCGATTTCGGCGTAGCTTAAGCATTAGATCGAGAACAATCCAACATTACCGTTCCTTGTGGTTCGACTCCGAACTTACCACTAGACTTGTTTAGGGGTTAGTTTTAGGATTTATAAATTTATTTGATTGAGTGTGGAATGTGCGACCGTTCTAACGCCCCGTCAATTACCTCCCCACAAACCCCTAAACAGAAGTTGTTTACAATCAAACAAGAGAGTATTAGAAAAGATGTTGAGCGTGCTTTTGGTGTGCTACAAGCTCGATTTGCAATAATTAGACATCCGGCTTTGGCACGGAGTGTCGAAATGCTATGGAAAATCGTGATGGCGTGTATTATCATGCACAATATGATTGTAGAAGATGAGCGCGATAATTACATGAATTATTGGGATCCAACGGAATTTTCCACCGAACAACCTAAGAACCTAGCAGGATCATCAAGGAGAACAGCAACAACTTTCACCGTTACCCCTGGGCGTTATAAAGATCAAAATTTAGCTACATTGATGGCTACATGAGATAATCTTCGTGACAAACAAATTAATACATCTTTGAAGAATGATTTGCTGGAACATATATGGGTTAGGTTTGGGAGCACTTTCGTCAACTCACCTTAAAAATAAAACGTATTTATGATTTAGTTTCTCGTTTTTCAATTATCGGCTTTTAATGTATTTTTATGTTTCCGAATTTCATTAATTGTCTTTTTACATAATGTATTGTAATGTTCCATATTAACTATTTTATATGGATGACAACCGTTCTATTTACTAATTATGCATTTTAAATTATCATTAATTGTACATTTTTGTAATATATTAAAATTGTCATTAATCTAATTATATTAAAATTTACAAATATCTAAAATAGAAGTTGGTTAATAAATAGAAAGGAAGGGGATTCATGAATCCCCTTTGTTGTGGGAAAAAATAAAGAAAGAGGAAGAGGAAGAGGATGGAGATAGTGGAAAATAATGTGGAAGAAAGAGAAATGATGTGTCAAAAGGAGAGAAGGAAAGAGAAGAATTAAGGGGATTCATGAATTCTCCCATTAAACATGCTCTAACAGCCCATGCCTAGCCCCTATTTCCACTATTTTTGATGATATTTTTGCTGGTTGTCAGTTCCTAAACAGCTGTAAATTTACTCATGCTAAGCGTACTTGTAATGCGGTAGCTCACTTAGTGGCTCGGGGGAATACTGAGGGAAATTCGAAAGTCATCCGGTTTGGATCTTTCCCTAGTAGTATTCTGTACTTGGCCAGTTTGGATCTTTCTAATTAATGCAATGTGGCTGTTTTCTTAAAATAATAATAATAATAAAAAAATAAATAAATAAAAAAAAAAAAAAAAAATTGTATTTTCTCAATTTTCTTTTCTTTTCTTTTGTTTTCCTCCCAACCAAAAAGGCCGTAGACGTTTATTTGCTGGTCGCTCGACCCCTCCCTCTCTCTCCTCCATTGAAGCGGCATCTGAGCTTTCCTTCCTCCATTGAAGAATCTTCTGAGGTAAGATGCTTATTTGTTTGATCACCGATTATCAATTTATTAATTAAGGGTTTTGTTTCACAATATCGTTAAATTAACTGTCAGACTGTCAGTATAGTCAAATCAGGATTCTTCTAAGCTATATAAATTATATTGAACTATTGTTAAGTATTTTTGAATTATAAAATGTTATAACAGCGATTTCGTTGCTAGGATTTCGCTATTCATATTCTTGATCGTGAAAAAATTTATGCGATATTTGAAGCCTAATTTGATAATTGAGTCAAATTTAGTTGTTGATGTATTGCAGACTTTTATTTATGTAACCCTTTAATGGGACTCTGGTGAACCTTAGCTGAGACAACCTTCCGAAGCTTAAAGTGAGAAGACGGAAATGGCGCTAAGGCAGCTAGCAGCAGGGGGGAAGACGCTGCCATCTCTGTTGAAAGTCTTGAGAAAGGATATCTCAAAATCCCATCGTGTCACTGTACCTTTGCCTTCACTCCGTCGCACTTTCTCTCTATATGATCAGATCAATCTAATTGATAATGTTCCTGAGGACCAACTTCGCTTTCAAGGGTAAATTCTTCCTTTATACATTTGTAAAATCCTGAATTTGATATATAGTTTATTTTGGTTTCTTTTATATTTCAACATTTGATTGATACCATTTGATATGCAAAAATATGGTTTGGCGTTTGGTGTTTAATATTTTGGACTTACCTGTTATAATTCGAATATTTTGGTTTGTTGTGTTCGCTGCAACTTGTTTAACTTAAGTTCAGCAATTAGAGTAAAAGGGTTGTGTGTGTTCTGGGTTATCTATATCAAAATTCAAATGTATGATAATAATTGCATTATCAAGTAATTTACCAATCGCGTGATGTTCGGGTTGATTATGCATTTATGCATTAATGCTTTGTATAGTTTGAATTTCATGCATGGTTTTTTGGACATCAATTTTGATTTAGCTCATGGCTTTTGGTATTCATTGCAACAATTTGATAGGTTTGACGAAACTGGATTCAAAGTAAATGGGGTCAAGTATGAAGGTAGCTTACTTTGTCTTGGGAATTTGCTAATGTCATGGACCCCTAAGAACTTTGCAGATATTACCCCTGAAAGGTACTTGCTTCTTTGGTCGCACTCTATGCTAATACAATTTTCAGTTATTTGACGCAAAAAGTAGCTATTTACAATATCTTTTTCATTCAACTAGATGCATAAGCTAGGATTGTTTATTTGCCAAGTTGTTTTGATATTGAACACTCAGAATCAAGTATTAGGTTCTAAGCGCTACTTGACGTTACTGGTTTTGTAGAGAAATTGCTCCCAATACAATTAGTTTTTTTTTGTTTTTTCTTTTTAATCAGACTGACATGATTTTTAAGATATAGAGGTGTTAGTAGTTTAGTATAGTGGTGGCATAGCTCTGCTGCAGTTTGCCACTTGCTTGGTGTTGGTGGAGCTGCAGTTTGTTAATGGGTGGAGGTGGTAGCACAGTTCTCCAACTTATGCTCTGATGGTAGTTGCTCACCAGCCAGCAATGTAATTTAAAATTGAAGAACAAAGGGAGTTGGTCTGGGAGGTCTTTTAGAGTTAGGTTTCTTTTCTTTAAGTAATATGTACTGATGATGGGTGATGATTGATTAGAGATGCTGAGAGAGTAAGAGAACGGGTCCTAGGTTTCAGTATATGCTTTCTAGTGTTCCTTTTGTTGTTGTACTTTATTTGTTGGGTTTTTGTCCTTTTTGATGGGTGACCTATTACTCCTTATGTCCCTAAAATATTGCCCCAAAACACTTTTTTTAAGAAGCTAAGTGTAAATTTGTGCACTTGGGTGGACAACTATTTATGAGGATATACAATCAGGCGTTGTGTTCTTGCCTTTTGGGTGGCAAGGGCGCAAGCCTTGTGCAGAAACGAAGCAGCGTCTAGATCTCAAGGGGCGCTTTTATCTTTTGATGAGAGGTGACAGAGTGTAGGTGGGCACAAGGGGAACCAAAATACGAGGTTTTTTTTTTTATAGCGTCCAGTGAGTTTGGGGTGCTAATATGCATGCGACGACAAAATAGCTATTAAGGTCATACAACACAAGTAAAAGAGGAAGGCAATACTTGGTAGAAAGTTTTTGGATTTCATTAATCACTTGCTCCCTAAAGAACTTCCTTTTGCATTTACAATGTTTTTCTAATAGATGTTGGGTTGGCAAAAATAATAACTGAATATAAAGCCTAGAAAATGTAAGAATAAGTCTACAAAAGTATCTAAAACAGGAGGTTAGATTCTAACACTGGTACAAACATTGGGGGATAGAGGGAGTAGATTCTCTAAAGATGGGGAAAACATGTTATGGGTGGAGGGGTTTGGGGAACTTTTCCTAACTTTCTTAAGAAAGGGAGGAGGGTGGAAATCTAGTCTTTCTAACTTGCACTTGAAAGTAAGAATAAGATAAACTCAACATTTAAGAAAAATTCAAACCAAATTGAATATGTGCATTATTTATAAGACAGCCACAAGTCCTTTAGTGGAAGGATAAATCGCGCAGGATCTTCTGAGTGTAATATACAATTGTAATAACTTGCCACATAAAACCTCTTATAATTAAGTTGACAGTTGCTTGCAAAGGAATTCTTTTGCTCTTTATCTTTCTATCTTTCTCTTAAGTCCCACATCAATATTTACACTTTTGGTTTGCATTTGTCCCAAATTGGCTTTTACACATTTGGGGAAATGTCCCACTGTTATTTTAAGGAAAATTCTCAGTGGTTAGCCCCAAATTGAAATGGTGACCCTCTTGTTTTTCTCTTTACAAATGACTCTAATTAAGATTTTTATTTTTTATTTTTTTATTCTCATCTATTACCTCGTTGGATTAGTTTTCAATAAAATGTTAACTTAGTTAAAGTGAAGGAAAAATTGTCAAAAATTAGCCAATGCACGGTCAGCTCAACGCAAGTCAATCATTTAATTGATTAAGAATACCTTTATGGGACATTTTATTTAATGGGCCAAATAACATACAACCTGCCAACAAGTCAAATATATTTTTTTTTTTAATTTTTTTTTTTTTTTTCCTAAATATCCACAAACCTATACAAACCACCGCCACCCACCACCTTCAAGCCACCCAAACCCAACCACCTTTAAGCCACCAGACCACCATTGCCTAACGATCACCCTTAAACACTTCACTATCCCTTTTTCTCTTCTCCTTCCACCGCCTCTTGAAACACAAGAATAACTCCCCAGCCCACCGTATTGTCTCGCTATCCCAACCGAAATCCACCACACCATCCCTCCCTAAAATCACCTAGCCATAGTCACAATATCCATCAATTAAAACCACCTTGCCATAATGAAGCCACTTATCCAACAATTAACACTTAGATAACCAATTAAAACTAGACCACACCATCAACTTGATTAACCAATTGCCACCACTCGCCATAGTCATGCCATTAACCCAAATTTACGTCCCACCACCGCCCCCACTAAAAGTATTTACGCTAATTAAACTAATTGCAATTACTTGGTACTGAATTTTGTCGATTCTTGTATGAAGTTAATTAAATCTATATGAACACAACTATGTTCGAAGGGAGAGGGAGAATGAGTTGCATTGTGGTGGTTCGACTATGTTCTGATGCAAGGTCTGTTGAACGAGATTAAAGGTTGTCAATGGGAGCTTTAGGGAGGAGATAGTAAGGGGCGATGAGGTAGGAGGTGAGAGAGAGGCGGTGGAAGGAGGAGAGAGAAAGGGGTGGTGATGGGGAAGGAGAAAGAAAGAGACTGTGGAAGGAAGAGAGAGAAAGGGGTGATGAGGGGGGAGTAGAGAGAAAGGGGTGGTGAGGGGGAAGGAGAAAGAAAGAGACTGTGGAAGGAAGAGTGAGAAAGGGGTGGTGAGGGGGGAGCAAAGAGAAAGGGGCGGTGGGAGGGGAGAGCGAGGTACATAACGAAATTAAAAAATTAAAATATTAAGTTAAATTTTTTTTTTGAAAAGTTGAACCAATTAAATTGCAACACACGTCACATTTTTAACCAGTCTAGACTTATTTAAATAAAAACCCCGAAAAGATAAACTTATTCTTAGTTATTCTTAGGTAAAGGAAGAGAAGAGAAAAGAAGGTATTGCCCACTATTTTGTGAAATTAGTCACATAATAAGGTATTGCCCACTTATTAGTCTAGACTTATAAATTGACCAATGAAATTAGTCACAAAGCAAAGTCCATTATTTTGTGAAAAGGTATTGCCCAGTATTTTGTGACATTAGTCTAGACTTATAAATTGACCAATGAAATTAGTCACAAAGGACTTTTTAAGTCCACTATTTTGTGAGAAAGGACCTTTTAAAAAAATTGTTGCAAGAAGGGACCAAAAATGAATTTACTTGATCAAACTCAATTTCTTCACAAAATCATCCAATTCCATACCCTAAATTATTAACTCATTCAGAAATTTGATTTCATCTCTCTTTGCTCGATTCTCTCAACCCTAGATTTAGGGTTAGGTTATCGCTTGAAGATTTTTACAGTAGGGGAGGGGAGGAGTGGGTCTCCGTGAAAAGGGGTGTCGGGGTCAATGCCGGCAGTGGATCGGAGGGGGAAAAGGGGTGGTTGGGGTTGGTAAGGTTTTCGTGCAAGGGGAGAAGGGAAGAGGGAGGCGGTGGGGGTGGAGGAAAGAGGTGACTGCTGTGAAAGGGGTGGGTCTAAGGTGGTTTCCGGGCATAGGTCCCTCCTCAGCAAAAATGGTGCAAAAAAAAAAAAAAAAAAAAAAAAAAACACTATTTTTGGTCCCTCCTTGCCACCTTTTTTTTAAAAGGTCCTTTCTCACAAAATAATAGACTTACAAGGTCCTTTTTGATAAATTTTCCAGACGGAAATTACCTAAGAAAAGAAGGAACTTTATCACCTAGAGATGTAAATGGCAGGCGTTGGAGGCTTGCATCATCGGAATCGCCAAAAAATAGCCTTAGAGAAAGTTAGAGTGAACCGAATGATCCATGGAACTATAATTCCTTCAAAAAATAGACGTGATTTAAAAAAATTAATATGATATCAAAATACTGAAAATAGGTTTAAGAGATTTAATTACAAAAGTCAGATTTATAATTTCAAACCGTTACACCTTACACTACTCCTTGAAAAAATAAAATATTTAGATTTAGATAAGTATGAGTTTGAGTATCATCTCTTTAAAGGAATTGGAAGACGAAAGAACAATCCTTATTCTCAATAAAAATGCAACGTAATAATGAATAAACAATGCCATGCGCATGCAGTTGTCATTATATTAATTGTGCAATGTTTTCCAGAAGATTACTCTAAGGTAATTGCTTAAAATCTTCATTTCCTTTTTTTGGCTTGTTAATGATTCAGGGTAGTGACACAGATTTATTCTTTTGAATTTATTAGCCAACATATTATTAAAGTGTTAATGTTCATTAGCTAGCTTTTAACTAATGTCAATTAGTTTAGAATATCTATCTTTTGACTAATTATTAAAGCCTTAGGATTCTGCCATACAGCTTGAAGGTTGGATGTTTATGACAGCTGAATTTCAAATTGTTTAGTCGATTATTAACATTAGTGGCGTATCCAAGATTTCAAAATACGGTTTACACAATTATAATAGGGATTAAGTAATTATAACGTTTTAACACGTAAATCATCGTATAATCAAGCAATAAAAAGTTATAAATTATCAATAATATAGTAGTATCCAATCAAAATTATCAATTTCTCATTAAACAATTGTTAAATTGCATACTAGTTAATTTATTTAGATATTTAAAATAAACTTTTAAAGTTCAATAAATTAAGGAGAAAATTAGGTTGTAAATATAATGATTGCAACAAAAAGTTAATAATTGTCCCTAACAATAAAGAATTTCCAAGTCTTAAATTGTACACTTGAAGCAAAAATTAAATGAATAAATTATGAAACAAATACCTGAAACAAATTTCCAAATCTTAAATTGTAAAATGACAGTAATAAGGCTCAAAGACGTCGTTTTGTATAGTCTATTGTCGCACAATGTAATGAATTTGCCCCTGTTTACATTTAACCATTGATGAGCTAGCTTGAGTAGCAAACTAAAGTTTTTGCCTTTAAAAAATTGTTTCCAAGATATTTCTTTTGACTTTAGAACATTTAAACCTTTTATAATTTGTTCATCCTTCAATATTATGTTATCGATCGCCTACATCCATACAACTTACCTTAGAATATGTGTTGTTGATATTGCTTCTATGTTAGCCTTTATTTATTTATTTATTTATTTATTTTCATTTGTTTGTCATTTACATACTCATTATTGTTGTGCCTAAGCGTCTTGATTGATCTTCTTCCGTCTCATAAGGGTGTCTCTTCATAAATAAATAGCTTTTCTTATGCTCATATTCATGCACAAGCCTCTTCCACCGTTCTTGGACTCTTGCCATTTGAAATCCAAAGCTTTGCTAAGGTTGATACCCTTGCACAAGCCTTGCTCGCCCTTGGCTTGCTTTTGTGTCGTCTTGTAAGAGAGTTTCACACAATTCAATGTCAAAATAATATCAAAAATTACACATAATATGTAAGTGATGAGTGATGATTGGTGAACTCTTTATGCGCGAGGTAGGTGATGATCTCATCGGTGTCATTAGTCCGATGAAGATAAAATATATGATTATAGTTGTGCTACAAATTCATAGACGATATATTTCTATTTGACATCGAGCAGTACTTTAGGATATGTTAACTAAGTGATAACCTAAAGGTGGTCATTTCCGGTTTGTCAGAGCTTTTGCACTACCTTAGTGTACTACATTTGGCAACAAAGAAATAGTGGTGTTTGGGATAGGAAGATCCATAGGCATGATATAATTGTAAATAGAATTTGTTTTGATGTATATCATAGGATAGGTAGTATAGCAAGTAAGAATGTTAAGGTTAGGGAGCTTTATTGGCTCAAGGGCATTTGCCTAGGGGCTTAGATGCCTCAGTGTAAATTTGTTTTTGTGTGATTAATAAAAATTTTACCTTTTCTCAAAAAAAAAAAAAAAAAAAAAAAAAAAAGAACAGGTGGTCATTTCTTTAGTCCTGTACTTGTCAAGTGATGTTAAGCTATGGTGATCCAAACTGATATTGAAACTAGGAATTCTTATGCCTCGAATGAAGGTACATGATATTGGGCATAAGAATACTATTTGCGACTATGTGAATGAATACATAGCTTGCATGTTGGAAATTCATGGCATGAATGAAAAGGAATAAAGGATTGGTTTTCTGAATTGTAAGATTGCTCTCAATGTGAGATTATGAGACAAAAGATAGATACAATCTCAGTCGCATAGATTCATGTAATACTCCTTTGGGAAAGACAATTACCATGGAATGAAATCAGGTTTTGAGCTTAAACATCATGCTATGGAATTATGTCTCCAAGCTCACCCAAGAGTACGGCAAATTGCTCACGTGTATTGTCTAATGAGGTGGGAGAAATGATGCTTAAAGATTCTGGTTATTCCCTTTTTACAACACAAAAGAACCGATGGCAAGCATCTCCTTTGGAAATGATAGTATACAGAAGTGTATACTATGTTGAAACCCGCACAAATGCTAGGGTACGAACAAAAAGGAGAGATCAAGAGCTATAAGAATGGGTTTCTTCTACGTGATCTACACAATGGGCAAAGAGTCCCCCTAGGTAGTAGTGCTTTACCACGCTGTGATGCGTGGACATCTAGGTGTCTGGGCAGAAGCCACCATTGTGGAACTGGTGCCACTAAAAACATCGTCATCAAAAGTGGTAACATATGTTAAGTTGTCACTGATGCAGAAGCTTCATCTCCTTTAATGCTTTCCTTTATGTTTTTTATGTTGGATGCTTCCCACCTGTTGACCCTTAGGTGTGACCTATAGCTAGTTTAGAGTCGTCACTATGACACTAAAAAAAATTGTTAAATAAAATATAAAGCTTTTTGATGGAGTGATTATTAATGAATGAGAACTAATGCTTCTGATCTAAGCACATGGGTTGTTGATATTGCTTTCGTGCTAATAGTCCTGTTGTCGCTTCTATAAATACTCATTTTTGTTGTCAACGTTGCCTCCCGCTTAATGTACCTTAGTGCTGACAATCAGGATCCTTTCTCAAATTGAAAGCTTTGCTTATGCTCCTTGGCTTTCCTTGCCTTGTACCTTATTGGGCACAAACCAATGTCAAGATACTTGGACCATGACTCTTAGGACTTTGGTATGTCTTGCTGGAATTTTTTGTGTTTGGTTAGAATATCATATCCATGTGGGAGTGCTGAGAATTTGACATAGGTACTTAAAAATAAGGCTTCTTGCATAATGCATAAAGCTGATCTGATCTAAATATACAATGCTGTATTTCGGTTATTGTAAACATCGAATGATATGCAGTTTTGATTGCCCAAATTGTACTTCCTTGGTGCATATTTTGTCTGATACTATGTAGCATAATATTTTACGTTACTTACCTATCTCTCAGAAAATTAACGTGTCATTTTTCTTCCTGATACAGCTTGTCCATCTTCCAGATTCTTCGGCCTATTCCAGGTAATAAAGGCATACTGTCGATAACTATAACTTATAGATGCTGTATGAAGCTTATTGACAAGATTGCTGTGCTAAAACTGCTAATGTGCTATGCTCCATTTCTTATGATATCTTGAGAAAAGTCAAACTATAAGTGGCATGGTGTTCTAGATGCTTGTAAATTTTGAATGTTGGTGAAAGAAAGATAAAAAAAAAAGTATTTTATGAGTATGGTCGCCTTTTCATCTATAGATCTAATTGAGTAATTGTACTTATTCGTATGTTGATTTTTTGCACACATGAAGTTTCATGTCTTAAGAATAAAGTGCTCCTCATGAAGTTGCTGGATTGCATTGAAGGATACTATGTAATATAAGCCCTGATGCCTTGCTTTCTGTTCCTTTATTCTGGAAGCTGCAACTTTAGTATAACTAAGGCGCCTAACGTGCGCGATGCGCGCATCATAGCTAGCTATGTCCGAGAAGTTCTTTTGATTTGACGTTATGTTATAACTTTAGTTGTTAGTAGCATTAATGAGGGAAAGTATATAACAAATATTTTTAGGGGCATAAATGTCCATACACTATTATTAAGAGTTTTAAAAAAAAACAATTAACATTAATGAGGGCAAGTATGTAAATAAACATTTAAGGGACATAATCGTCTTAACACTATTCATAAAAGTGTGGTCATACTTTTAAAAGGGTAAATACGTAAATAAACATTTTAGGGGCATAATCATCTCAAAACTATTCATAAGAGTTTACTCAATACTTTTTAAAAGGTAGGGAAATAGTCTGTTTGACTTTTGTGGTATTCTCACAAATTCACAGATACACATCAGGATTATTGTCTATAATTGTGGTAGCTGAATCTATGGTTTGACTACCAATTAAAGTCATGTTAGGGCTTTAAAAGCCCCATAATTTTTATATTTGGTGATTGTTTAATTTTTCCATGCCCATTACAATTCGTCTCATGTCATGGAATTAGACCAAGGGTTTCCTTATCAAGCATGGCTTCTTAACCAGTCTTATTTATTTCGATTTCGCTATCTGATGAATTTCTAAAAATAGTGTAAGTGGCTTTTTACGGTTTCTTTCCATGTGGCTATAGGCCTATAGCTGTTCCTTTCTTTGTTAGAAAAGTTTCAGGTAGTCAAGTTTAATAATATTAAAACTTAATACGAAGTATATAGTTTAAAGAATTAGAACTACAATAATATTCTAAATTTTCTACTTCACTCCTTCATGTTATGACATTAAAACTTAAGTTTACACAAGAACCATTATGCTATGAAATGATGGATACTTCACCCTTGTTAGAAAGTATACATCAATTTCTTACCTGTGAATCAAGTTTGCATGGATGTCCAAAAATTTTCAACCTCCTAAAACCTCAAATGATACTGTCAAAAGTCTCGGTGGAAACATAGTAATATGGAGATGACTTACACTGATGTTTTCCCTGAAGGTAGGTAACCATTAAAGAAGATGATTTAACTCATTTCCTGCGATGGATTCCATGTCCACTGTTGCCTGTTAGTGCCTGTAGACTGTACGTATTAGTTAATTTTGCCTACATGGGCTAATCTATTTATGTGCTACATTGCTGTCACATTGATGTTTAGCTTGTATTCAGCTTCCCCAACAATATGACAGGAAGTAGAGAAGAGGGAAGAAGGTATGCTGAATATTTAATTTTGTGATGTGTTGCAGAAATTTTAATTCTTGGATGTGGAAGGCACATTGAACCAGTTAATTCTGAACTCCGGAGCTATTTACGCTCTGCTGGCATAAGATTGGAAGCAGTTGACTCGGTATCTGTGCTTTAAGCATTTGCTTTAGTGATTTAAAACTATTTTTAACTGCTGTGTTTGAACATTGGTATTAGTTATTAGCATAATATCAAGTTTCGCTAAATATGAGCTAGCTTCTAAAATGAATCGCTTATGTTTATGAATTTCTGAATAATAAGTCTTTTGAAGAGGTTTACTGGATACACTGAGCGGAAATATTCTTCGGGTTATCACTTGTCAACGAAGTTGAAGACCAAACTATGCATTTCAACTGATGCTATGGATAAATGTTGAGCACTATTTTTTTTTTTTATAATGCCTATGAATATTACGAACCTTTTGAGTGTTAAGAATCCTGCACTATATAGCATTCTGTTTGTTTGCTCCTTTGTACCTTGATTTTGTAAACTGAACACTCCTGGTAATTAGTTGTCTATGGTACTCTAGTCTTGCTATCAATGAAATGTATCCATTCTACCATATTTCATGTGCTGCTTTAAACAAATTTGTTTGCTAAATGTGTGGAAAAATTGTGATGCTGAAACTTTCTGACACTTGAGCCTTCATTCCACTGTGCCAAACTGCAGTGGCATCAATATGTATTTGTCCAAGTTCTACAGGAGTTTGAATAGTTGTATACTAAACTTTGGTCACTCGTGCTTCATCTTGTTTTGTTTCAGCGAAATGCTGCCTCTACATACAACATTTTGAACGAGGAAGGTAGAATAGTTGCGGCGGCTCTCCTCCCATATGGAGCATCAGCATCTTCATAATATTTGGTCATCTGACCAATAGCAAAACGTTTCAGCAAATTCTTGCTCTGCTTTTGATGCTGTGTTGACTAGCTGCGGAAGTTTGGTGCTGCGTAGTCCTTTAACTTGAGACAATATCAGTTTTGAGTATAATTGCTTCAGTTCTCTGAAAAAGGCAGCTTTCTCAGAACATTTTTCATGGTTGTATCTTTATGATATGTGGAATGTACATCAATAATTTGGTCTGTAGAGTAATTGTATCCAGACATTGAAAGATGGAGTTAAGTACAAACTATGAAATAAAGCTAAATTACTTTTGCTGACAAGCCAATGGTTTTATACAGAAAATCATGAAAAATTTAGCTAGTTGAAATGAATTCTTAAGGAAGTGCTACTACCTCTTTGATACGCACACACATCCCGGCAAAGTTTTTATCATTACCAACTTTTTTGTGAGCGATTTCCAACAATATTATTGAAACAAAAATAAATTCTCACTATGAACCGCTTTAAAAATAAATTCCCAAAGTTCTGTCCACGTAGGACTAGTTTTTGGTTCAGCTTAAAACCGCTAATGTCATAAACGGTTACATATTAAGAAATTTTGACAATTGCTACCACTAAAATGACCATGTTTTCACCGTTGCTGTTAGTGGGCCTAGGCACCGTCCAACCACCTTCCAGCCACCCCTCCCTCCTTCCAGCCACCCTCACTGCCAGCCCCCCTCCCCATGTTGGCTGTTAGCGCCCAAACTCCACCTTCACACACCAACCACAACAACACCAACTCCACCTTCACCCCTCAGCTCACCAAGAATTCACTAAACCACCTACCAAACGCTTCTCTTCAAACCACTTGACCAAACACCAACAATAGATCAGCAGCCGCCGCAGTGGCTCAACCACAGAGCAGCTGCACCTTACAATCGTAGCCACCACTTCGCAGACCCCCACAACAACCTACAATCAATCAGCCGCTACGCCCCCGCTTCCCAGCAGTACTGAAAGGAATGGTGTCCTTCCAACAAGTGTATTCTTCCGATAGAGGGTTCAGAATTATTACAGAGTTAATTCTTCAGTAAGATCAAGTGATCGGAATGCCTAGGTGGAGGCCGCTTCCGATTAGTAATATCAAGGTACAATTGATATTACTACTTAATCTTAACAGAACCTTTCGGGTCGAACCCAATCGAATCACCGATCTGAGACGATGAATTAATCCGAAAGGATTTAATGAGTCGACAGAGTTTTACGAATACAGACGTCGGATATCGAGCCTAGGGCGTCGAGGCCGAGCGTCGCAAAATCACAAGCGACAAGTACGAGCGTAGCCGTAGCACCACAATGGTCTAACAATGTGGATGCTAGGCTAATTCAAGCTAGCAGGCACCTAGCATGGCTAGGCGCAAGCCTAAGCACACTAGGTGTGCTAGGCGAACCATTGCAGCCTAGGCACACCATCGCTGACCATCGCAGCCCTAACTTGATGCCTAGGCACCATCGCTGACTATCGCAGCCTAGGCGCACCATCGCAACACAGCAATGTACTTGGTTGGATGCCTAGGTGCGCATGACAGGGCCACACATGCACCAAGCACAACCATCGCAGTGCTAGGCACTAGCGCATGTGCATGTGCGTGTGTGCGTGCCTCGCACCAAGCGTAGTAGTGCTAGGCACTGGCTGATGTGTGCTAGTGCGAGGGTGCATGGCAGCATCGCCCATCACGCATGCTAGGCCCTTGCGTGCGTAGGTGCACTGGCTGGGCTAGCAATGCGTGTGGCGCATGTGCGTGGGGTGCAAGGTTGATGCGTGTGCGAGAGGTGCAGCGAGGGATGCGAGGGTGGTGCGTGTGACTGGCGAGGCAAGGGGCCAGGATGCGTGGCTCGCTAGCAGCACGCATGCTTGCTATGCAAGCATGTGCGAGAGAGGTGAGGGCCAGCACCAGCTCCAAGCATCGCCCAGCACCAAGCATGCACTACTTGGCTGGGATGCGAAGGCTGCTGGGTGGGCTGGTGCTAGCTGGCACTGCTAGCTGGCGTGCTAGCTGGCAGCAGCCCAACAGCCTATGCTTAAGGCGGTTTTGTGAGGGGGTGGGGACCAAGGCTTGGGCAAAGCCTTGGGGAGCAAGGCAATGGTCCCCCCCCCACCTCTTCATGGTCCTCACCTAACTCTCTCTCTCCCCTTAACACTTGTTGCATTGTGATTGAATTTAATTATTAATTTATTTTGGAAATAAATTAATTATCAAATTATTCATTCTCCCACATTGGTTGGGGAATGAAGTTTAAGGGTGCATTTCCTTATAAATACCAAAGGCATGGTATTGGGAAATACACAACCTTGAGTGGAATTAAAAAGGCAACTCTTATAATTAGAGTAAACCTTTGATTCGTAAAAGTCATAGTTTTGTTTTTTCCGGGTCTTGACTAACCTTCAAGACTTGGGACGCTCGGGTCGGGTCGAGGGTACGATCCGTCGGAGATCTCGTAGTTTCGGGATTTTGAAGTAAGAGCTCTTCGGGAGCGAAGCACGCAACAAAGGTATAATTCTTGTTCTTAATCTTGTTTGATTAAGTTTATTATGGTTGTTAATTGCTTTAATTAAGGGGCGGGTCTTGGGGGGTTTCCTTCCGCGTAGTGTCAGGTCACTACGAAACCCTACAGCACCGAACATCAACCGTCACAACCCACCAGCCCACCTCAAGCCACCGCGCGTAACAATCGGCACCACCATCAATTCATGTGCTCGCCACACATAATTAATCACAGCCCACAACACCAGCATCGCAACCAATTTCGCATCTAATCGAAAACCAAATGCATTGAAAAGACCCAATTTCGAAGGGTAAGAAATTGGTAGGGTAAGTAGAGTGGGAAAGGGGAGAGAGGTGGGGTCACCGGCGCCGGGAGATCATTTGGGCTCCGGCAAGGGTGAAGGGTGGCTAATGGGGAGGTGGCAAACGGGCTATAGAGTGGCTAGTTTTTTTTTTTTTTGTAAGTTTTTTTTTTAAATAAATTAAATCATTATTTAATGAAAAATGGGCCCCACTTAACGGAACCCTAACAAATTCTGTTAACTAGTAGCAAGTGCTATATGTTGTAACTTTTGGAGGTAGCAAAATAAAATAAAAAATTAAACAGGTAGCAAATGTCAAACATGGTCATTTTGGTGGTAGCAAAACTCAAAATTTCCTTATATTAAAATCACTAACAATATTAGTGATTATGTATTTTTTTTAAATGTTATTAAAATGCGGTCTATTTAAACTTGTTAATGAATATTGACGAAGGAGGCAAAAAGACCGGTTATTAGTAAAATGAGGTCTCTTTTCTAAAACCACTAATTGTAGTAGCGGTTTTAAAACTGCAATTGCTATGCCGTTAACGATTTAAGCTGAACCAACGGCTAAAAATTAACGTCCAACATTGATCCTACGTGGACGGGGTTTGGGGAATTTGTTTTTACACCGACGCACAAAGGGAATTTATTTTTGTTTTGACAATGTTGTGGGAAATCGCTCCTTTTTTGTTTTGTTTTATTTATTTGATCAAAAAAATTATCAATATGACTTTTGTCTTATTAGTTGTGGCATTGTGTGCAAGGTAATGAAATTTATTTGAATAATTAATCATCCCATGTAAAATTATTACCCTTTGCTTCAAGATCCTAAACCCTTTAGATAATCTTGTTGAGCCCAACCAATTAAGTGTGTAAAATAGAATTTTACCGTAAAGTTCCTAAGATTCTAAATGACACCCTAGTGCATCATCCATCACTTAAAATCGAAGGGTTTTTAGGTACTTAGATTGGAAAAATAATCTCAATATAAGCGGGACCTAGGTTTATTATGTTGTGAATATTTAGTGAACTCTAGAGCATCATCATCAACATACAGAAAATAAACTTACATGCATAATCTACTAATGCAAAATAACTATGATCTAGAATGGCCCTTAATCTTAAGAAAACTAGTCTTGAAATGCTCTTACTTAATTCTTCATGGATTGATTTGTCGTCCTTTGGGCCTTCACATCATATCATGGTCTTCTTGGGTTATATCTAACCTTTATATGTTATTTTATCTACTAATTAAATAAAAAATATTACAAAAAATAGTTCACGATACGCATACCGTATTTAGATTACAAAAATAAATCACGATGTGCATATCTTGTTTTATAATATATTGGGCCATACTAGTCATTATATAGCAAAATAATATCATATATAATAAAATTGTCATATATAAATCACGTAAACATGCTTGCTTAAACTAAAATATCGAATATTCTTAATTAAGGCAACATAATTCCTAAAATATCTGCATATTTTAAATTTGTAATTAATTAATAAGATATATTATTCATAACCATCAATAAAATATCATATATATTTCAAATTAAGTATGAGATAGAATAAAGTCTTATTTTAATCTCAAATAATAGATCATATTTATTCTCTAAGATTCTCCTAACAAACTTAGAAGATTCCATCCCAATGGCTAGCCAATTAAATTATTTTAAAGTCAATTATATCCTAAAATATTTACAGGATAATCACCATTAATTTATCAACCGTTATCCATATGGAAAGCTGCTCGAAATATCCTAGCAAACTTTTCAAAAGATAAAACAAACTTTTAAAAATTTGAAATTATCCAAATAAAATCAAATTTTATCAAAATAATATAAATATTATTTTTAAAAAAAGGGCGGACATCCAACTTGTTTTGGCCAGCCAAAGCTAGCCACGGTGGCCGCACATCTTGCGATGCGCGCTGGCTCAAAGTATTAGCAATAGCGACAGCCGTGCAACCGTTAAATTAAATCATTGATCACATCAAAATCATTTTTTATGTAATGAATTTATCTAATTGAAATCATGAAGCATACTATATTCGAAATTAATCAAAACAAAAAAAAACCAAAAATCATAATTTAGGATTTACGATTTCAAAAATTTCGAAATTAATTAGGGTTAGGGGGGTTCGTGAAAATTACAGCTATTATAGGGCTAACATTGATCCAAATTTAGGGCTAAATTGAGAAAATTGAATCATATATATTATTCTCCCTTTTAATATGTTAAATCACCATTTAAAATAGTAATTAACCATAATTAAATTATTCTCCCTCTTAATTGAATTAAAATTAACATGTACATCAAAATAATCAAATTATTATCATCAATATATGCGTACATGCAAGATACTAACTGATACCACTGTAGAGATCTAGGTACTACATTGCGGAATTTCACGAATGATGTGGATTTAAACCCCTTAACTTAATAAAGAATCTAAAATCACACAAGTAACACAAACCT